CCAAACAAAAACCCAGTTTCCAAATGAAGCAGAGAGTGTTTGAGGACCGGGACATCTGTAGGGAGACCAAGGTGCTTGTTTATAAAGCCATTGTCCTCCCAACCCTGCTATATGCCTGCGAAACGTGGACTGTCTACAGATGTCACATGCAACTCCTGGAACTATTCCATCAGCGTTACCTCCAAAAATCTGCAAATCTCTTGGGAAGATAGGTAGACAAACGTCAGTGTGCTGGAAGAAGCAAAGACTACCAGCACTGAAGCCATGCTCCTCTGCCATCAACTCCGCTGGACTGGCCATGTTGCCTGAATGCCAATCACCCTCTCCCAAAGCAGTTATTTTATGTCACGATGCCAGGGCTCTGCCTTTAGAGAGGTAGAGATGAACCAAACAAAAACCCAGTTTGCAAATGAAGCAGAGAGTGTTTGAGGACCGGGACATCCGTAGGGATACCAAGGTGCTTGTTTATAAAGCCATTGTCCTCCCAACCCTGCTGTATGCCTGCGAAACGTGGACTGTCTACAGACGTCACATGCAACTCCTGGAACGATTCCATCAGCGTTACCTCCAAAAAATCCTGCAAATCTCTTGGGAAGACAGGTGGACAAATGTCAGTGTGCTGGAAGAAGCAAAGACCACCAGCACTGAAGCCATGCTCCTCTGCCATCAACTCCGCTGGACTGGCCATGCTGTCTGAATGCCTGATCACCCTCTCCCAAAGCAGTTATTCTATGCCACAATGCCAGGGCTCTGCCTTTAGAGAGGCAGAGATGAACCAAACAAAAACCCAGTTTGTATAAAACAATTTAATTAAAACAGCACTTACTATCTGGCTCAAGAGAGATATCGACAAGCTGGAATGTGTCCAGAGGAGAGCGACTAAAATGATAAAAGGTCTGGAGGAGAACAAGCCCTATGAGGAGCGGCTTAAAGAGCTGGGCATGTTTAGCCTGAAGAAGAGAAGGCTGAGAGGAGATATGATAGCCATGTATAAATATGTGAGAGGAAGCCATAGGGAGGAGGGAGCAAGCTTGTTTTCTGCTTCCCTGGAGACTAGGACGCGGAACAATGGCTTCAAACTACAAGAAAGGAGATTCCATCTGAACATGAGGAAGAACTTCCTGACTGTGAGAGCCGTTCAGCAGTGGAACTCTCTGCCCCGAAGTGTGGTGGAGGCTCCTTCTTTGGAAGCTTTTAAACAGAGGCTGGATGGCCATCTGTCAGGGGTGATTTGAATGCAATATTCCTGCTTCTTGGCAGAATGGGGTTGGACTGGATGGCCCATGAGGTCTCTTCCAACTCTTTGATTCTATGATTCTATGATTCTATGATCTGGCTTGCAGTCTGCAGTCTGCAGTCTGATAAATGTAACAGTATCCAAAAGTCCCAGGCTCAGCCATCTCCCTGGGAATAGCCCAACCAATCAGCTTCATACATCTTATTTTACAGTTGATACACAAAGACACACACACACACACTAACATGTTTCAACACATGGGGTCTCTTCCAACTCTTCTATGGTTTAAGGTCTACATCAGACATGGACAAATTTTAGCCCTCCAAAACAAAGAGACAAAATTTGTCCGTGCCTGTTCTACCCAGATTGATACCACTTTAACTGTCATGACTAGATCCACAAAAGTCAAGCTTACACATTTGGACCGCTGACTGTGCATCATTGAATGCACCCGGATGCAGTCTCACGGTTTGCCACTGGATGGCAACTGTCCCTCTCCTTTTTCCCCCTGGAAGGATGAAGGTTTCTACTTTGGTTTTCTTGCTCTGAAGCCCATCAAAAGTGCAATACATATTTAATATGGAGGATTGTCCACTTCCTTTGCAGTGAAACCAAACCAAACAGCATCTCCTGTTTAGGCCCTCCTAAAGTTTTCAAGTCAGGCAACCTGTCAGTCCCCAAATTGCAAACAAGATATGTTCTGTAGTTTTGTTCTTAAGTTGAATCTGTATGTAAGTTGGAACAGGTCCTTTTGAAAGGTTATTTCTAACTACAAGCTTGCTCCCTCCTCCCTGTGGCTTCCTCTCACATATTTATACATGGCTATCATATCTCCTCTCAGCCTTCTCTTCTTCAGGCTAAACATGCCCAGCTCCTTAAGCCGCTCCTCATGGGGCTTGTTCTCCAGACCCTTGATCATTTTAGTTGCCCTCCTCTGGACACATTCCAGCTTAAATGTTCAAGGGTCTGGAGAACAAGCCCTATGAGGAGCGGCTTAAGGAGCTGGGCAGCCTGAAGAAGAGAAGGCTGAGAGGAGATATGATATCCATGTATACATATGTGAGAGGAAGCCACAGGGAGGAGGGAGCAAGCTTGTTTTCTGCTTCCCTGGAGACTAGGCCACGAAACAATGGCTTCAAACTACAAGAAAGGAGATTCCACTGAACATGAGGAAGAACTTCCTGACTGTGAGAGCCGTTCAGCAGTGGAACTCTCTGCCCCGGAGTGTGGTGGAGGCTCCTTCTTTGGAAGCTTTTAAACAGAGGCTGGATGGCCATCTGTCAGGGGTGATTTGAACGCAATATTCCTGCTTCTTGGCAGGGGGTTGGACTGGATGGCCCATGAGGTCTCTTCCAACTCTTTGATTCTATGATTCTATGATTCTATGTGTGTGCTTTAGATAGCATATGTAAAGCTGTTTTGCTCTTTGCACCCCTGTTCATCTTCCTTTCTGTCCCTCTGAGAAATGGATTTCGAAGAACTTGGCTTATTGTGCAAACAAAGATTGGGAATAAAGCTTCGGTGTCCGAGTCCAGCACTCCAATCACTACAAAACACTATTTTCATATACTTAAGACATTCTTACTGTTTGGCCAAGACTCCACGGGGAAAAGTCCTTTGTGCCAAAATAAAATCTAATAATTAACAATAATGTGACGAAATGAAAATCATGCATAGTTCGATTTGATCAGCCCACAAGACACAGTGAAGACATCTGCCCTTGTGCTTGGCTACTCTGTTGCTGAGTACGCATGCCCAGTGTGGAACACATCTCACTACGCTAAAACAGTGGATGTGGCTCTTAATGAGACACGCCGCATTATCACGGGGTGTCTGCGCCCTACACCACTGGAGAAATTACACTGTTTAGCCGGTATTGCACCACCTGACATCCGCCGGGAAGTAGTGAAAGGACCAAGGTAGAGACATCTCCAGCTCATCCCCTGTTTGGGAATAAGCCAGCACGTCAATGCCTTAAATCAAGAAACAATTTTCTAAGATCTACAGGGACACTAGCTGGAACACCTCAGCAAGCGAGAGTCCAAAAGTGGCAGGCTCAAACCCAGCACCTCAACCAATGGCTGATACCAAATGAGAGACTCCCCCCTTGGGACACAGAAGACTGGGCGACTTGGAAGGTGCTGAACAGACTGCGCTCTGGCAACACGAGATGCAGAGCCAACCTTCAGAAATGGGGCTACAGGGTGGAATCCTTGACATGCGAGTGCGGAGAAGAGCAAACCACTGACCACCTGCTGCAATGCAACCTGAGCCCTGCCACATGCACCATGGAGGACCTCCTTGCGGCAACACCAGAAGCACTCCAAGTGGCCAGATACTGGTCAAAGGACATTTAAACAACTACTAAGCTTGCAAACTTTGTGTTTTGTTTGTTTTGTTTGTTTTGTTTGTTTGTTTTCCCTGTTTGACACCTGATATACATAACAAGGAACTAGTATAGGAGGCCTGAAGACTGTTATCATCTCAGTTTGCCTATGGGTTCAAGTGACAGGAAAGGAGAACTGTAGGAAGAGCTTGCTGACCATGAGAAGAGCTATTGAGCTCTCTACTGGACTCTCCTAGAGTTTGGATGGCTTTGAGTGTGCTTTCCCTGCCTGAAGGCAGAAGGGGGTCAGGCTGGATGGCCCCTGGGGATCTCTTCCAACTCTGGGATGCTAGGAAGGCGAACTCCGGGTCCCTGCGCCCTCTGCCCATGCTCAGAGGCGCGGAGGGAGGGAGAGAAGGAGGGAGGGCGGCGGAGGGGGAGTGTCCCATAGCTCTGCTCTCCCCCCAGCCCTGCCCAGCCCTGCCTTGCCTTCTCCTCTTCCTCCTCCTTCCCTGGATTTAAACGGGACGCCTGCTTTGTCCCGCCGCTGGAGCGCGATGGAGCCGGACGGGAGGAGCAGAGGATGCGGCCAAAGTCGGATGGAGCCCGAGGAGAAGGAGAAGCAGCACTGAGAGCAGCCAGGTAGCCCAGCTCCCTTGAGCATGTGCAGAGTGTTATAGGGACCCCTTCTCCCCTGTCTTCCCTTGCAGACAAAGCCAGACACACACAGAGAGAGTTCTGGCTTTGGATTGCAACTCCCTGCACCTCCCAACCAGGAAAGCTAATCCCAAAGTCTTCTCCCTTCTCTTGCTCCAGGGATGGGGATGATGGGTGCTGGAGTGGGAAGAAAAATAACTTTTCCCCCACTTTCTTCCCTTGCAAACAAAGCCAGAAGCAAGAGAAAAACACACACACACAGAGTGAGTTCTGGCTTCGGATTGCAACTCCCTGCACCTTCCACCCAGGAAAGCCAATCCCAAAGTCTTCTCCCTTCTCTTCCTCCAGTGAGGGGGATGATGGGTGCTGGAGTGGGAAGAAAAATAACTTTCCCCCACTTTCTTCCCTTGCAAACAAAGCCAGAAGCAAGAGAAAGACACACACACAGAATGAGTTCTGGCTTCGGATTGCAACTCCCTGCATCTCCCAACCAGGAAAGCCTTTCCCTAAGTCTTCTCCCTTCTCTTGCTCCAGGGATGGGGATGATGGGTGCTAGAGTGGGAAGAAAAATAGAACTCTTCCCCACTCTCCTCCCTACTTTTGGTTGGAACTCCCAGCATTCCCCCCAGTCAAGCAATGCTTTGCCAAAAGTTCACAGGGAAGCCTAGGAAGCCAATTCCAAGCTGTACTGACTGGGGATGCTGGGAGATGTAGTGGGAAGAATAGAGCTGTTCCCAGGCTTCTCTTTAGTACACTCCCCTAGTTTACACTGGCTGGGGGATGTTGGGAATTGTGGTGGGGAAGCAGAACTTTCCCTCCAGCCTTGTGGAAATGTCCAGGGTAAGTTGCCAAAATATTATTCTTAGTGGCTCCTCTACAAAGCTGAAAGTCTCCATTTATTATTATTATTATTATTATTATTATTATTATTATTATTATTATTATTATTATAGGTTCCAGGTAAGTAACCAAAACATTATCCTTAGTGGCTCCCCTACAAAGATGAAATACTCTGCCATAAGACATGAAATTATTATTATTATTATTATTATTATTATTATTATTATTATTATTATTATTATTATTTGAAACACAACAACATGAGTCCACAGCAGACACTCTGCTGGCTGTTGTATTGGATCACATGTCGGACACTTCCCAAGTGTCTAGGACTGTGTGATGTATCGCCAAATAATGCATGCAGATCCCAGTAGGGTGGCCTTTCGCAGCTGGCAGATGGTAATCTTGTCAGTGCTGATTGTGTTTAAGTGCAGGCCAAGGTCTTTAGGCACTGCACCCAGTGTGCCGATCACCACTGGGACCCCCTTGACTGGCTTGTGCCAGAGTCTTTGCAGTTCAATCTTTAAATCCTCATATTGTGTCAGCTTTTCCAGTTGTTTCTCTGCAATCCTGCTGTCACCTGGGATTGCAACATCGACAATCCATACTTTGTTTTTTAACACGATCGTGAGGTCAGGAGTGCTCTAAAACTCTCTGTCTGACTGTCTAATCTGCACAGAGAAACTACTTCAAATCAGAAGTAGATGCAGGCGAAACGTCAGGAGAAATGCCTCTAGAACATGGCTCTATAGCCCGAAAAATCCCACAAGAACCTAGTGATTCCAGCCATGAAAACCTTCGACAATAAATCCATACTTTGTGTTTTAACATGATCGCTTATTATTATTATTATTATTATTATTGGGCCCAGATTAGTAAACAAAACATTATCCTTAGTGGCTGTTCTACAAAGCTGAAAGATATAAAAGGACATGAAATTGTTATTATTAGTACTATTATTAAAGGTCCCAGATATGTCACCAAAATATTATCCTTAGTCAGTGGTTCTCAACCTTCCAATTTTTTTTTGTCGTGTCAGGAGCGACTTGAGAAACTGCAAGTCGCTTCTGGTGTGAGATAATTGGCCGTCTGCAAGGACGTTGCCCAGGGGACGCCCGGATGATTTGATGTTTTTATCATCCTTGTGGGAGGCTTCTCTCATGTCCCCGCATGAGGAGCTGGAGCTGATAGAGGGAGCTCATCCGCCTCTCCCGAGATTTGAACCTGCGACCTGTCGGTCTTCAGTCCTGCTGGCACAAGGGTTTAACCCACTGCGCCACCGGGGACTCCAACCTTCCAAATGCCACAGTGCCTTAATCCAGTTCCTCATGTTGTGGTGACCCTCAACCACAAAATTATTTTTCTTGCTACTTGACAACTGTAAATTTGCTACTGTTATGAATCATAATGTAAATATCTGGTATGCAGGATGTATTTTCATTCACTGGACAAAATTTGGCACAAATACCCGATATGCCCAAATTTGAATACTGGTGGGGTTGGAGGTGGAGGGGATTGATTTTGTCATTTGGGAGCTGTAGTTGCTGGGATTTATAGTTCACCTACAATCAAAGAGCATTCTAAGCTCCACCAATGATGGAATTGAGTCAAACTTAGCACGCGGAACTCCCATGACCAACAAAAAACACTGGAAGGGTTTGGTGGGGATTGGCCGTGAGTTGTGGAGTTGTAGTTCACCTACATCCAGAGAGCACTGTGGACTCAAGCAATGATGGATCTGGACCAAACTTGGCATGAATAATCAATATGTCCAAATGTGAACATTGGTGGCATTTGGAGAAAATAGACCTTGACATTTGAGTTATAGTTGCTGGGGTTTATAGTTCACCTACAATCAAAGATCACTCTGAACCCAGCCCACAAACTTAGCTTAAGCGGCTGAGGGGGAATAGGAAGGGGCCTGAGGCTGTTAGGAATGATGGGAGTTGGAGTCCAAAACACCTGGAGGGAGGCCCAAGTTGGCCCATCCCTGGTGTAGAAGATGCATCAATGTCTGGCCTTGTAGGGTGCATTCGGTGTGGTTTCCTCTCCAAACAGGGGAATGCGCTTTGCACATGTTCAACATGCAACTCGGTCAGACCCGGTTGCAAAGAGAGCTGGGCTTTGTTCATAGGCACAGTTGTGCGCATTGTGTGTAATTCAATGCCACTCTGGTCGTGACAATGGCGTGTTTCACAGCAAACAACTTTCCTTCTGAATTTTTAACCATGTTTTGGAGAGACTGGCAAAAGCCTGCCGGGCGTTGGGTTACTCGGTCCCACGGTGATGAAACCAGAGCCTTATAACCAACCCTTGATAAGAGTCTCAAACAATACATATATTTTATAACATATATGCATATGGTTTGATATTCTGGGTTATATAGTTGTGTGAAAGGGTCCAAAAGGGCTTACAATATTAAAAAAGTACATTTTGGGCTAAAATAACAGCCTGAAATCTGAAAGAAACTCAACTTTCCAAGAACAAAGAAAGCCTTGGCAAAAAAAATATCCTGGGGACTACAAATCCCATAGCAGGGACTACAAATCCTATTAGTAAAGTACAGTTTGGGCTAAAATAACATCCTGAAATCTAAAGGAAACTCAGCTTTCCAAGAACAAAGAATGCCTTGCAAAAAAATATCCTGGGGACTACAAATCCCATAGCAGAGACTACAAATCCTATTAGTAAAGTACAGTTTGGGCTAAAATAACATCCTGAAATCTGAAGGAAACTCAGCTTTCCAAGAACAAAGAAAGCCTTGCCAAAAAATATCCTGGGGACTACAAATCCCATAGCAGAGACTACAAATCCCATTAGTAAAGTACAGTTTGGGCTAAAATAACATCCTGAAATCTGAAGGAAACTCAGCTTTCCAAGAACAAAGAAAGCCTTGCCAAAAAATATCCTGGGGACTACAAATCCCATAGCAGAGACTACAAATCCCATTAGTAAAGTACAGTTTGGGCTAAAATAACATCCTGAAATCTGAAGGAAACTCAGCTTTCCAAGAACAAAGAAAGCCTTGCCAAAAAATATCCTGGGGACTACAAATCCCATAGCAGAGACTACAAATCCCATTAGTAAAGTACAGTTTGGGCTAAAATAACATCCTGAAATCTGAAGGAAACTCAGCTTTCCAACAACAAAGAAAGCCTTGCAAAAAAAATATTCTGGGGACTACAAATCCCATTAGTTCCTGGCCAGCTGGAAGGTGCAGTCCAACAAATAGAACACTGTAAACTGTAAACACTGCAAGTATTTCAAAGCATGTGTGGTGGAGGCTCCTTCTTTGGAAGCTTTTAAATAGAGGCTGGATGGCCATCTGTCAGGGGTGATTTGAATGCAATATTCCTGCTTCTTGGCAGGGGGTTGGACTGGATGGCTTTTGATTCTATGATTAGCTGGCCCTGATTGTTTCTTGTCTGGAGTTCACCTGCTTTTGACTATTGCTCTTTATTTGCTGTTATGATTTTAGAGTTTGTATTGTCGAAGGCTTTCCTGGCCGGAATCACTGGGATCTTCTGTGTATTCCGGGCTGTCTGGCCATGTTCCAGAGGCATTCTCTCCTGACGTTTTCATCCTCAGAGAATGTCTGCCATAGATGCAGGCGAAACGCCAGGAGAGAATGCTTCTGGAACATGACCATACAGCCCGAAAAACTTACAACAACCCAGATTTTAATATTGATAACTAGATTTTGCCGGAACATTAAATGTTAATCAAGGTGGCCAATTGAAACATTCACACCTAGCTCCAACAGACAAGAGTTCTTTCTCCCACCCTGGACATCATTCCACAGATATATTCATAGAATCATAGAGTTGGAAGAAACCTCATGGGCCATCCCGTCCAACCTCCTGCCAAGAAGCATTTTCCTAGTTTCCAACACACCTCACAACCTCTGAGGATGCCTGCCATGGATGGAGGCGAAACGTCAGGAGAGAATGCTTCAGGAACATGGCCACACAGCCCGGAAAACTCACAAACAACCAGTGATTCCAGCCATGAAAGCCTTCGACAATACAGAGAAACTTACATCCGATCATTACACTTTTCAGCATTGTTGAAAAGTTACTTTTTAATTGATGATTTTTTTTCTCCCCAAACTTAGGAATTTTGGTCCAAAACAAAAGTGACGACTCTTATATCCAAATCCAGTCCATAATCAACCTTTCTGTATCCAAAAAAGGAACCACAAACTGCTCCTAGGAATAACACAGCCCTCTTGTTTCATTATTTATGTGTTTATTGATTTAATTAAATTATTTATATCCTGCCTGATTGCTAGCTAAAGATATCAGAACGGCCATGGACTAAAAAAGCAGACTCAAAGAGTAAAAAAACCAAAATGGACAAAGGTCAGGAAAAGGCACCAAAGAAGAAGACCTGGACATGGATCAAGTGAACTTGAACCGTCACTTTATTTTGCACCTGGGATAACACTGTGTCCAGTTCTGGGCAAAGCGGTTCAAGAAGGAGAGGGACAAGATGGGGAAGGATGACCAAAAGGGTCAAAGGTCTGAAAACAATGAATCCGTCTGGATTAAGGAGCTGGAGATGTTTAGCTTGGAAAGGAGAAGGTTGAGAGAAGGGAACATGGCCTTCCAGAGACTAGGACACAATGGAACAATGGATTCAAATAATACGAGGGTTGAATGAAAAGTAATGCCTCCACCTTCGTAACTCCTCAACAGATGGCAGTACTGGTATGCGGCAGGTACTGGCTTGTTCAGTAGGCTCTCCTCTACAGTTCCATTTTGGCAGGAAGCCTTAGCAGAAAAAGTAATGCCTCCACCTTCGTAACTCCTCAACAGATGGCAGTACTGGTATGCGGCAGGTACTGGCTTGTTCAGTAGACTCTCCTCTACAGTTCCATTTTGGCAGGAAGCCTTAGCAGAAAAAGTAAAGCCTCCACCTTCGTAACTCCTCAACAGATGGCAGTACTGGTATGCGGCAGGTACTGGCTTGTTCAGTAGACTCTCCTCTACAGTTCCATTTTGGCAGGAAGCCTTAGCAGAAAATGTAATGCCTCCACCTTCGTAACTCCTCAACAGATGGCAGTACTGGTATGCGGCAGGTACTGGCTTGTTCAGTAGACTCTCCTCTACAGTTCCATTTTGGAAGCCTTAGCAGAAAAAGTAATGCCTCCATCTTTGTAACTCCTCAACAGATGGCAGTACTGGTATGCGGCAGGTACTGGCTTGTTCGGTAGACTCTCCTCTACAGTTCCATTTTGGCAGGAAGCCTTAGCAGAAAAAGTAATGCCTCCACCTTCGTAACTCCTCAACAGATGGCAGTACTGGTATGCGGCAGGTACTGGCTTGTTCAGTAGACTCTCCTCTACAGTTCCATTTTGGCAGGAAGCCTTAGCAGAAAAAGTAATGCCTCCACCTTCGTAACTCCTCAACAGATGGCAGTACTGGTATGCGGCAGGTACTGCCTTGTTCAGTAGACTCTCCTCTACAGTTCCATTTTGGCAGGAAGCCTTAGCAGAAAATGTAATGCCTCCATCTTCGTAACTTCTCAACAGATGGCAGTACTGGTGTGCGGCAGGTACTAGCTTGTTATGTAGACTCTCCTCTACAGTTCCATTTTGGCAGGAAACCATAGCATTGAATGGTTGTATTGTTAAAGTGCAAAGTACTTTAACAACCCTTCGCAGATCATCAGTCAATGCGAATTAAGCAATGTGCAGTCATTGAATTCTTGACAGCAGAAGGTGTCACCCCAAAGGAGATTCATCAGAGAATGCAAGCTGTTTATGGTGATTGTGTTGATGTGAGTACTGTGCGTCATTGGGCAAGTAAGTTTAAAGATGTTGAGGTGGGAACATCTGACTTGCATGACAAACAAAGAGTTGGACGTCCTGTGACAGCAACCACCGAGTTTCACAAGCAAAAGGTTGACAGATTGAATCAGAACGATCTAGAGTTGGAAACGACCTCGTGGGTATAGAATCATAGAATCAAAAAGTTAGAAGAGACCTCATGGGCCATCCAGTCCAACCCCCTGCCAAAAAGCAGGAATTGCATTCAAATCACCCCTGACAGATGGCCATCCAGCCTCTGTTTAAAAGCTTCCAAAGAAGGAGCCTCCACCACACTCCGGGGCAGAGAGTTCCACTGCTGAACGGCTCTCACAGTCAGGAAGTTCTTCCTCATGTTCACATGGAATCTCCTTTCTTGTAGTTTGAAGCCATTGTTCCGCGTCCTAGTCTCCAGGGAAGCAGAAAACAAGCTTGCTCCCTCCTCCCTGTGGCTTCCTCTCACATATTTATACATGGCTATCATATCTCCTCTCAGCCTTCTCTTCTTCAGGCTAAACATGCCCAGCTCCTTAAGCCGCTCCTCATAGGGCTTGTTCTCCAGACCCTTGATCATTTTAGTCGCCCTCCTCTGGACACATTCCAGCTTGTCAATATCTCACTTGAATTGTGGTGCCCAGAATTGGACACAATATTCCAGGTGTGGTCTAACCAAAGTGGAATAGAACATGGGGAGCATTAGAGCTAGACACTATGCTCCTATTGATGCAGGCCAAAATCCCATTGGCTTTTTTTGCCACCACATCACATTGTTGGCTCATGTTTAACTTGTTGTCCACGAGGACTCCACGATCTTTTTCACACGTCTGCTCTCGAGCAAGACCTCATCCCCCATTCTGTATCTTTGCATTTCGTTTTTTCTGCCTAAGTGGAGTATCTTGCATTTGTCACTGTATACATCAGAGAATGCAAGCTGTTTATGGTGATTGTGTTGATGTGAGTATTGTGCGTCGTTGGGCAAGAAAGTTTAACAATGTTGAGATGGGAACATCTGACTTGCATGACAAACAAAGAGTTGGACGTCCTGTGACAGCAACCACCGAGTTTCACAAGCAAAAGGTTGACAGATCGATTCAGGACAATTGTCGTATCACTCAGAGAAAAATTTCAAGCATAATGGGCATTTCACAAGAACATGTGGGTCACATTATTGTTTTGCTTGGCTATCGGAAGATCTGTGAACAATGGGTACACAGTAGAACTTCCGAGACTGGATCTCACCACTGTACGACATCCTCCATACAGTCCAGATTTAGCACCATCTGACTTCCATCTGTTCCCGATAATGAAAGAAGATCTATGGGGACATCATTATGCTTCTAATTAAGACATTGAGAGAACTGTGAGATGCTGGTTGCAGAGTGTTGACTTCTTCCATGACGGCTTCAGAAAACTTGTTCATCGTTGGCAGAAATGTATCCAATTGTCTGGTGATTATGTGGGGAAGTGAATAGTGGTCGTCAAAGAGCACATTCTAAGGATTATTTCTGTGTTTGATTTATTAAAATATTCCCATCCAAACCCAAGTAACAAAGGTGGAGGCATTACTTTTCATTCAACCCTCGTAGAATAAGGGCTTCCATCTAAACCAGTGGTTGTCAACCTGGGGTCCCCAGATGTTTTTGGGCTACAACTCCCAGAAATCTCAGCCAGTTTACCAGCTGTTAGGATTTCTGGGAGTTGAAGGCCAAAAACATCTGGGGACCCCAGGTTGAGAACCACTGATCTAAACATTAGGAAGAATCGAATAAGGATTGCTGTGAGTTTTTCAGGCTGTATTGTCATGTTACAAACAGCCCAAAAAACTCACAGCAACCCAGTGATTGCACAATGAAAGCCTCTGACAATACAATTTACTAATGATGAGAGCTCTTTGATGGTGGAATGTGCTGCCAGGTAGTCCCATGGAGTTTCCTTCTCTGGAGGTTTCAAGCATGTTGGATGGCCATCTGTTGAGAGGGCTTGGGTTGTGTGTAGCTCTGTGGCAGAATTGGAATGGATGGCCCTTGAGGTCTCTTCCAAATTGAGTGGAAGAGAAGCTTCTGGGAGGGTGCTGGAGGTCCTTTTCAAACAGAAGGCTATCTGTTAGGAGCGCTTGGATTGTGTCCTTCTGAATGGTAGAAGGAGGTTGGACTGGATGGCCCTTGGGGTCTCTTCCAAATCTAGTGGAAGATAAACTCCTTTCTAGGAGGGTGATTGAGGTCCTTCTTTTCAAACAGAAGGCTGTCCATTGGATTGTGTCCTTCTGAATGGTAGAAGGGGGTTGGACTGGATGGCCCTTTCGGGATCATTTTCGGTTCTGGGATTCTCTTCATATGGAACCACATCCATCTGTTGGAAAGAGCAACCTAGTACAAGCCTCCTATACTAGTTATTTGTTATGTATATAATTGACATTGGGTTGTTGTCATTTTTTTCGGGCTATATGGCCATGGTCTAGAGGCATTCTCTCCTGACATTTCTCCTGCATCTATGGCAAGCATCCTCAGAGGTAGTGAGGTCTGTTGGAACTAGGTCTGTTAGAACCATCTGTGGAATGACCATGGTGGGACAAAGGACTCTTGCCTGCTGGAGCTAGGTGTGAATGTTTCAAAGGACCACCTTGATTAGCATATAATGGCCTGACAGAGCCTGGAGCAAACTTTTGTTGAGAGGTGATTAGATGTC